GCATGCCATATGATACTACTGCTTGCATAATATCCAGAGGGGCAAGGTAAAGCTTCTGGATCAGCTTGTTCTGCTTGGCAGTATGTTGAAGGAGTTGCTTCAGGATAGATAGAGACAGTTTATTTTTGTAGAAATTTATTTTGAGGAACTGAGAGCATTGGCTCTGAGCAGGCATAAAAGCAATAAATTGAGCATCCTACAGCCTATATTTCTCCAGTTACAGAAGTTGCAAGGTGTCTTTGACTCTCTCAAGGAGATCTCCAAGTGGGCTAAGCCATTATCCAAAAAGTTAGAAATTCATGTAGAGATATTTGAGCTTAGAAAAGTTCAGGCTCTGGTGCAGGTAATCCAAGTCTGGCTGTGAGAGTTTCAGTAAGTGATGGCACAGTATCTCTAAGGGCTTCTTAAGGCAACTATGCTGCACCACTCTGTCAGGCTGCTGACTTGAACATAAACAACATCTACATAGAGATGCTGGAGACAGGGGAATTAAGGCAATAGTAAGACAGTGTACATATCCACTCTTCCTACAGATCTTCAGATTTTCTCCAACTGAGGTTAGTTGGCATGACTACAGTTTGAGCGTGTGAAGGTTTCTCACCTGCCCCAGAAAGGTCCAAAATGAAACATTTCTTCTATTTATATATTTCTAAGCCCCAAGTCCCATAAACAGTGGAGATCTCCAGACTGTAATTCATCTGTGGAAGTGGACAAGGGTGATTCCAAAATCTGAAGCTTCAGACAGCATAAATGAACAGATCCTATTTTCTGCTGGGCCCACTGCCAAAAGTACATGGCACGTTCATAGGGCTGACATTAACAAGCTTGAAATTAGTTTATCATGTTCAAGTAGTTTTCATCCCATAGTCAGAAAATGTCTCTACTGGCTTCTTCTGTCTCAAAGACTGATGAGAGTAGTCACCCTTAATAGGTTATAGCCCATATGTACCAGAAATCACAGTCCACATTTGTCAAATCCAGAATTCTGATTTTCTCCCTCCTGGGCCAACCCTCTTCTGTAATAAGCAAATGTAGTCCATCAAGCAAAGTCTTCAAAGTCTCCAGGTGTGGGTCTTCATCTGGTCTCTCCTATAGAAAGGTATTTAATGGCCAGGCAAGTACCATGACCCTCAGAATGTTGATATGATTATTTCTGAAGGTTATGAGGAATGATGCTGGGAAGAGCAAATAGGACATGCCCACCATAGCAGAATTAGCCAAGGACTCCTGCTCCAGTAAACTTTTTATTGAAAGCTGATAGAGGGTGGGTGGGGCTTGGTCTTGCATTGTAACTGGTTTTCAGGAATAATGATCATTAGCACATAATAATTGTTTGAGATAGCTACATGGCTAGTAACTTTTTTGGTGAGGCACTGACTTCTTGCTTCCTCTGAGGCTGAGTAACGACACAGGACGTTTCCTTCTAAACATATATTCAGTTTCCTATCAACTTTGAATAGAAGATATCAGGAAAAATCAATATGAGATATATGTGCCATGTCCTACCCTTGCTAGAGAATATCTGCCACTATTATATTGAAGGAAAACAATTCTCTCTCCCTTACTTCATTCTCTAATATACATAGACTGATAGCTTTAGTAGAAGCAATAGAAAAGAAACAGTGTCATTGAAAGACAAGCCAAAGTTTAGGCAAAAATAACAAGTCAGTCTTTGTTGGAAAGGTTAGGTATGCTAGGGAGTCTGCACACTGCGGCTATCAAGGCAGACTGAGTTGTGTGGAGACCTTACCACCTCTGACAAGTTTTATCTCTCTACTGTTAGAATCTTGAACCTTAATCTTCAGGCAGAAAAGGTAATCAGTGAGTCTCTATCTCTTCACTCAATAACTTTTTACTATGACTGGGTATTTCAAAAAGTAAACATCTATGACTTCAGGAATCCAGAATCTATGATTTCTAGGATGCTACTCTCTTGGCCATTATATTTTCTTTCCTGACAAAGTCTTCAGGTCTATCACTCTTCAGTCCTGTGATATACTAGGTCTCTTAGAGGGGAATTGCCTTCTCCAGGGAGTGACGAAGTAAAAAATTATTACCATTGCTTGTATAATTCTGTTTTAATTGACCTCAGGTGTGTGAAGGGCATTCCATAATGTTTTCTAAGATCACCACCACATCGAATCTTTCTGATGTATGGTGAATTAAAGATGTTCAATTTTCATGCATCCCCTGATTCCCACAGTTTTTCACTTGTCCTCTGTTCACCCAACACTTCTTTCCACCCTTTTGAGTCGAGTCCTCCTGCTGAGAATTGCAATAGATCTCAGCCTTGAATATAGCTCCCTAGTACACTGAAAAGCAATATAAGTGTTTGGCTTCCCTGACTTGAATTTATGTGAATTCTGAAATGTCTCACTCTGAGTTTCAAAACTCTTTGGTTACCTTTCCATGTTATTGGTATGTCTGAGTACTTCTGTTTTTATGGGGAGACACACAAAATTTTAGTTTATCATACATATTTTGCCAAAATCATTTTAAGAAAAATCTGAAAAATAGGAGGATGTGGAAAAACTCTGGATGCCCAATCTCAGAGAAATTATCAAGAGTCAATTCTTGTAAAATATTTACCTTATATGGAAGCTTGAAGTTTAACTTTTGTAAATTTCCATGAAATAAAAGAGCATGGTGTTACAATAGAGTATTGATATTTGTTGATGTAAAATTGGTGAATTTAATAAGCTTAATTTTCATGCTACCCTTGATTCCTGGGTTTTTTTTCCTTTGAAATCCATTCACCAAGGTCTTCTTTCTAAACTACTGAGATGTCTTGATGACAAATATATGTAAGATATCCATGCCATGTCCCCTTTTTGCTAGAGAACAGCTGTCATTATTGTATTAAAGAGATACAATTCACTACCACTTCTTTCTGTCTTAAACGTACATAGAATGGCACATTTAGAAGACGTGCTCAAGAAGGAAAGTGGTCAATGAAAGAACTCTATTCACCTAACTATTTGTTCCAAACTGTTGAGTCATCTTGCTGAGATAAGCCACAGAGCCCATTCTTGAGTGCAGATATCTAGCACACGAAAAAGCAATTTAACTGTTTGTTTTCTTTGATCGAATTGATATGAATACTTAAATGGCTACTCTGAGTTTCATGACTAGTTTCTTTGCTTTCCATGTTACTGGTCTTCTTAATACATCTGTTTTCATGGGTAGACACTCAAAACTTGTATTTGGCATATAATATTTAAGAAAAGCAATTTACCTGAAAGGTGAACAAAAAGAGAATGCCCAAGATCAAACAAATTATCAAGAGTCAATTCATATAAAAATTGCCTTACATTGAAGCATGAACGAAGTTGTAATTTTCTAAATTACAATACAGCATGGTATGACAAGAGAGACAAAAAACAAAAGTACAACACAGCTAAAAAATGCAACAGAGCTTTGGTGTGGGAGGTCCTTCTGTCTCTGTTTTGCTTATATTGGTTAATGAATAAGAAAGCTTTGAGCCTATGACAAGGAAAAACAGACCTAGGCAGGGAAACAAGGATTCATGTTAGGAAAAGAAGGCAGTGTTAGAACCCATAAAACCACTAAAGACACAGGATGACAATTTTACACAATAAACCACAGCTAGGTGACAAATGACAGATTTATAATAATGGGTTTGTTGTAGTGAGAAGGGGGCTGTGTTCCCAGTGACTGGCTAGCTTATCCCCTGAAATAACCACATGGAGATGTGTCTAATTAAATTACTGCCTGGCCCATTAGTTCTAGCTTGTTATTGGCCAAATCTCACATCTTGATTAACCCATCTCCATTAATGTGTATCAACACTTGACTGTGGCTTAACAGCATGAGTCTAACCACCATCCATCTTTGTCAGGAGAATCATAGCGTCTGCAACACTACCAGCATCCAGTCCTCTCTTCCCTGCCTATCTAATTTCTGCCCTATCAAAAGGCTTAGGCAGTTTCTTTATTTCACCAATGAAAGCAACACATAGAAAGAAAACACTCCTACACCATTTCCTTTTTTTCTTTGAAGAAAAAAGAAAGACTTTCACTTTAACATAGTGAAATCACATACAAAACAGTTATCAAGCAAGATTTAGAGTCACAACTATATTTATATTTATATCTATTTTTCATAACTAAGGAAAACTATAACTATAAATTTTTTCCAAAGACTCCAGAAAGATACAATATTACCCAAGTAAACAAGAAGAAAGTAACTTCAAAAAATCTAGAAATTACGGAGAAATCTTGCTGCCTGGATAGTCACACAAAGTTTTTTTTTTTTTTTTTACCATTGGGGCATCCATCTTCAGCCTTCAGGCCCATAGTATCCAGCAGACATTTCCATGAAGCAGGAAATATCAAAGACAGTTCAGTCACTTTTTTCTGTATCCTACAGAATGTCTTGCAATTTCTTTTATGAAAGAGGAACACCGAAAGAACATCTCAATTTTAGGCAAGTTCAGCAGTCCTTTAACTGGGGGTTCTTTATGTCCAGTTTATGCAACAGTCCAGGCAAGAGCAGTTTCTTGCTAAAATGGCTAACCAACTCCATAATGTCCATCATACACTTGAAGTATATTGGTGCTGCCAGGAGTGTTACAGGGTTAAATGATAAGTGAGAGATAGACAATAAGAAGCTAGATATAATGGAACAAGCAGTGATTGGATTAATATAGACACTGTAGATAATTTATGGCATAAGCTTTTCCTCATTTTGTCAAGGAAGCTAGTTTTCAGGGAAAATCTCAACTCTTAAAACCCATGATAACTTTCTCTTTGTTATCAGTATCTTTGGCACACTAGATGATTGATAAGTATCCATCTCAAATGTGCTCAAAAGTATGGGACCAAATTTTTTGCTTCTCTTCCCTATTATGTACCTCTGTCATAGAACATGAGAATCAAGCCTGCTACACAACCGTAATGCACCTTTTCAAGCCAAGGAGACTATCCATGATTGCTTTCCCATTTCCCTGAAATGCTCATGGGTTAAGAGCTGACTTCTCTGGATTGATGATGATAAGAAGTCTCTGAGGATGCTGACTGACTCATACAAATGGCAATCTGAGGTCCAGATAGGAGGTCCTCTTGAGAACCACAATTTTTCCAGAACATGGCTAGCACTCTTCCACTTGGAAGACATATCAAAGTGCACACTGGTTTGGTCTCCAAAATATTGAAGAAAGAACAATTTTGTAGTGTGCCAAAAACTTTACATACTGTGCTTCTAAAAAGCACTGTACTGCATCATTCATGTTACATTGCTTTGAAGTTATTGACTGATGCATACATGGATGAAAGACCCAAGAGTGCATGAAGAAGGGAAATTATCCCAGAGATTCTGTGATGAATTGGACATTCCTACATTGGGAGACAGGCAAGAAAATATGAGAGGCCTGCTGTCCACCCTCAGAAATTTTGAGGGCTGGTGGACACATGGTCTTTTCCAAATCCAGGAAAAACTTGTGATAATTTCCCTTACTGTGAGTGTCATTCCTTTTCAACATGTTTCGCTTAATATATCACACTCCTTAGCAGGTGTATCAGTTATGTGTGCAAAAGGTAACCGTACTCTCTGTTCACCATGTCCATCGGATTTCAGATTTGGAGCTGATCACCACCCATATCTTTCTATCATAATTTCTTCTAAAAACACAGGAAGATGTTTTCATATAGTTTCATTTATAAAACAATCTTTGCTGTAAGGCTTGTCTGTAAATATGACCTGCAGCTTCTTTATATTGTTTGGATTTATAAGCACGCTGAGAGATTCACAAACTGCACAGTTGGAACATAGGTCCAATTCCTTCTTTCAAGAAGCACTTCCTTAAGATCCGTTTCTCCAAACTGAAAAACTGAAGAGAAAATATGGGGATTGAACCATACGGAACATAAAACTGCCTTAGATACCCTAAATTTTTATGTTGAAATGAGGCAAAGTCAAGCACTGCTCTAAACTAACAATTACCATCAGAAAGAAAAAAAATCCAAGAAATTTATTATCTTTCATGGATACAAGGTGAAAGAAAATTCTTAGGATCTACAATAGATAGGGTGAAATATACAGCAACTCCAACATTGTACCTGGATAGTGAAAATGAATGGAAAACCTCTCCTGGTTGAGATTTGATATACATCATTCTCAAACACAAATTTCAAAAGGAGTTCACTGTTGCAATCTACCTTTGAAGTTCATGTAGTTATTTGCTTCATCAAAAAATAAACTTTTTTTGTCCTATCAAGTAGCTTACATAACACAGCAGAGAGTGGAATTGCCCAAGGTCTGACAATATCTGGGTTTTGCATGACATCTTGGTTTCATCTTTTATTCCATGATGCTCTTGCTTTGCATGGGAGACACACAGACTCACATGATAAACCCAAAAATTACACACTTAAGCAAATAGTTCCTTAGCCAAGTCTCTAAATAACATGGCACACACAGCATAGATATGGTCAGGACTCCTCCTGCTTGACACATGTTCCTTTTATTCTAAGTTCTGAAAAAACGTTGTGAGAACCAATTTATATGATATCTACCTCTCATGTCCTCTTATTGCTAGAGTACATCGGTCATTATTATATTAAAGAGAAACAATTTCCAGGCACAAATTTCTGTCTCAAATGAATATAGAATGAGACATTTAGTAGAAGAGATCAAGAAGGAAAGTAGTCACTGAAACACATTCAAAAATTGAAGGGAGAATATTTCAAGTCAGTGGTTTTATTTTATGATAGGGGGAATGTGGGATATGCTTGGGAGTGTGCAGGCTGAGGCTAGCACAAAAGACAGATTTCTTTTGAGGCACTTCCATCCTCGATAATTTTATTTCTTTTTTCTTCCAAAATAGAATCCTGAACAACTCATCTTCTTAGCGTAGAAGTGATAAGCACTGAGGGTCTGTCTGTATTCTCAATAATTTTTCACTAAGACTCTGGATTTCTAAAAATCAACATCTATGACTTCAATAGTTCAAGGACTATGATTTGAAGGATTACACTCTCTTGACCATTTTGTTCTCTTTCTTGGCCAAACCATCAAGTCTAATGCTCTTCAGTCATTCAGTATACAGTGTCTAAGAAAGGGTGATTTCCAACTGCAGTTGTTGTAAATGTGAGAAAATATTACCATTCATATAATTTCCTTGATTAAAAGACCTCAGTTTTGAGAAGAATATTTTCCAATGTCTTTCAATCCACGTCCACATTCAATTATTCTGATGTATGGTGAATTTATGATGTTCCATTTTCATGCAACCCAAAATTCCTTAGTTTTTTTTACCTTGAACTCCATTCAACAAACTCTTCTTTCCAAAATATTGAGTTTCCTCTTGCGGAGACAGACCACAGAGCCTATCCATGAATGCAGAAATCAAGCACATGGAGAAGCAATTGAAGTGTTTGTCTTTTTTTGGCATAAATGGATGTGAATTCTTAAATAACTCCCTCTGAGTTTCATGACTAGGTGCTGTGCTTTCCATGTTACCTGTCTTCTTAATTCATCTGTTTACATGGTTAGATTGAAAACTTTGTGTTTGCCATATATTTTTCAGAAAAACATTTTACCACAAATGTTGAAAAAGAGAAGGAGGAAATTCTCTAGGTGTCCAAAATCAGACAAGCAATCATGAGTCAATTATTATAGAAATATTTGCCTTACTTGAAACTTGAAGTTGTAATTTTCAACATTCCAATGAATCAATAAAGCCTGGTTTGACAAGAGAGACACAAGCACACAACACAAAAAACTGCCAAAAAATGCAAATGAGATTTGGTGTGGGTGGTCCTTCTATCTCTCTTTTGCTTCTATTGGTTAATGAATAAGCACAGCTTTGAGCCTATGACAAGGAAATTTAGAACTAGGCAGGGGAGAGAGGAGTTATGTTTAGAGAAAAAGGGCAGAGTTAGAACCCATGGAGACATTAGAGACAATGCATAGAAATTTTAAGTGATAAGCCACAGCTAGGTTTGTCAATTACAGATTAATAAAAGTGATTTAAGTTATTATGTAAAAGATAGACAATAAAAAGTGAGAGATAATAGTAAGGACTTATTGAATTAATATAGTTTCTGTGATATAATTTCGGGTGTAAGCTTTTCCTCGTTTTGTCAACTAAGCAAGTTTTCAGTGAAAATTTCAACCCTTCAAACCCATGTCTTTCTCTTTGTTATCAGTATCTTTGGCACACTAAATGATTGATATGGGTCCATCTCAAATGTGCTCAAAAGTACAGGACCAAAATTTTTCTGCCCTTCCCTATTCTGTATCTCTGTCATAGAACGTGAGAATCAAGCCTGCTGCACAACCCTGATGTACCTTGTCAAAGCCAAGGAGACTATCCATGGCTGCTTTCCCATGTCCCCGGATTCTCATGGGTTAAGAGCTGACTTCTCTGGATCGATGATGACAAGAAGTCTCTGAGGACAGTGACTGATTCAAACAAATGGCAATCTGAGGTCCAAATAATCTTGAGAATCATGATTTTTCCAGAACATGGCTTGCACTCTTCCATTTTGAAGAAAGTCATATCAAAGTGCACACTGTCTTTGGTCTTCTAAATTTTGAGGAAAGAACAATTTTGTAGTGTGTCAAAAACTTTCCATTTCTCTGCTTCAATACTTTGCCTCTAGAAAGCACTGTACCGCATCATTCACGTTACATTGCTTTGAACTTGTTGACTTATGCATGCATGAATAGAAGACCCAAAAGTGAGTGAGGCAGGGAAATTATCCCAGAGATCCTCCATGATTTTCACTGATGAATTGGACATTCCCACATTGGCAGAGGGGCAAGTAAAGATGAAAGGCCTGCTCTCCACCATAACTCAGAAATTTTGAGGGCTGGTGGACATATGGTTCTTTCCAAATCCAGGAAAAACTTGTGATAATTTCCCTTATTGTGAGTGTCATTCATTTTCAACAGATTTTGCTAAATATACCATACTCTTTAGCAGGTATATCAGTTATTTGTGCAAAAGATGACCTGTATGTGCACCACATCCATTGGGTTTTAGATTTTGACCAGATCATCAACCGTATCTTACTATCATCTACTCTTCTTAAAACACAGGAAGATCTCATTTTAAAAGCAGTCTTTGGTGTAAGGCTTGTCTGTAAATTTGTCCTGCAGCATTTCTATATTGTTTGGATTTATAAGCACGCTGAGAGATTCACAAACTGCACAGTTGGAAAATAGGTCCAATTCCTTCTTTTAGGAAGCACTTCCTTGAGATCTGTTACTTAAACATGTAAGGCTGTGGAAAAAATATAGGGATCAGACACATAAGGAGCATAAAAATGCAGTAGATACTCTAAATTCCTAAATTGTAATGAGGTTTAATCAAGCACTTCTCTAAACAAACAATTACCTCAGAATGAAAAAAATCAAAGAACTATATTATATTTCATGGACATAACTTGAAAGGAAATCTATAGGATCCATTGTACATCAGATGAATATACACTACCTCCAACATTGTACCTGGATAGTGAAAAATTGAATGGAGAACCTCTCCTGGTCTACATTTGATATACATCATTCTCAAACAAAAATTACAAAAGGTTTTCACTTTTGCAATCTACTTTTGAAGTTCATGTAGTTATTTGCTTCATCAAAAAATAAACTTTTTTTTGTCCTATCAAGTAGCTTACATAACACAGCAGAGAGTGGAATTGCCCAAGGTCTGACAATATCTGGGTTTTGCATGACATCTTGGTTTCATCTTTTATTCCATGATGCTCTTGCTTTGCATGGGAGACACACAGACTCACATGATAAACCCAAAAATTATACACTTAAGCAAATAGTTCCTTAGCCAAGTCTCTAAATAACATGGCACACACAGCATAGATATGGTCAGGACTCCTCCTGCTTGACACATGTTCCTTTGTTCTAAGTTCTGAAAAAAAGTTGTGAGAACCAATTTATATGATATCTACCTCTCATGTCCTCTTATTGCTAGAGTACATCTGTCATTATTATATTAAAGAGAAACAATTCCCAGCCACTTCTTTCTCTCTCAAATGTACATAGAATGGCACATTTAGAAGAAACGATCAAGAAGGAAAGTAGT